GCTTTCAAGGGGTAAGCTTAAATAATAGCTTTATTATTCCAAACACTCTTTCCCTTTGAAATAAAAAATGAAGTACCTACAATTCAAGTCAATACTGGTCGACTTTAGTGCAGCCCTAGCCCTTCTCAATGTAAAAAACTGTAGTAATCACAACCCTACCACACAAATCCAGTAGTAGTAGTAGTAGTAGTAGTAGTATACTCTGAGTCTGAATAATAAAGCCATTTTAAACCTGGATTCTGACTCGTAGCCAGCAGTGGGTGAGTGCTTGCAGAAAGAAATCCACTTGCATAGAAGAAGATGCAAGTGGACTTCTCACTTAATATCTCAGTAACTCTCCCCTTTTATTGTCTGTTATTTAATAAAGTATAGTGTTCATATTGTAAACTACTTTTAGAATAAAATAAACAATGAAATAGGGTCTAATTTGGTGAAGGCCTACACTGTGATTAACAAGCCCTCAGACCCTCAGTAAGATTGGTCATGCTGTGTAGATGTGTAGGAGTGGGTGATGTAATGTGGCTACAGCCATCCTTTATATACAGGCTATAGCCTTTTTTTACATGTGACCTCAGTTTGGGAGATTTACTAGAGTTTTTCTTTCATATGTATCACGCAGCATGAGATAATTTGTATCAGCTGCATTATCACTTCTGGGCATGCTCAGTTTAGGTGACAGAGTTGCCCAAGTAGTGTGTGTGTGGGAGGGAGGCACAGGGCACGTTTCCAAACAAATTCCCTTCCCTATTCTAATAATTGTGCAGTTTTAGATTTGAACTGGCATGTTTAAAAAAAGAAAATGATTTAATGTCTGATCCTGCTGTTTGTAACTTGTGTGTCGTCATACACATCTTTAGATATTATCTACAACAGTTCAGAGCTGCTCTAAATTTTTTTTGGCACTGGCTTATGATTGGGAGTAATATATGACATCATGGATATATCTCCATAGTGTAGTGGTTTGGACTAACAAAGTAAAAGGTTGCTGGTTCAGTTCCACTCAGAGACACTAATTCGCATCTGATGCTGTTGCAAAAATCTCACCCTTGTCCTATATCCTATAAACTGACTTAAACGTCTTTAAATGTGTTCCTCTTCATGAAGTTAAAAAGGTTGGGAACCACAGCTTTAAAACGTGTTCTGTGTTGTATCACTTCAAGTGTATGTATCTTTGAGTTTTTCTTTTGTTTAGGATGATTTGTTTTGTCTGCAAAACCTCATTTTACTGTCTGAAAGTTTTCCTGACACTTAAAGCCCAGCTGGACCGTACCACGGCAAAAAGCCCGTCTCGCGTCGGAGCTAATCAGTCACTGCACGGCATGGACTGTCAAAACCAATTTGAAGGTGTGTGCACATGAGCAGCCACTGTGCCTTGATTGCATTTATATTTCAAGATGCAAACCAAAATATGCAAAACTAGCATCACAATAGTGTGTGCTAACTTCCCCGAAGGATGTCTCTCGCAGATTTTTTAGAGTCTGCACATCTTTACGTAGACTTGGCAGCACTTTTTCCTCTTCACCCCCAAAATGTCCTTACTGCTTTTTTTTTTTTAATGTCTTATTTACATTTTCTTTCCTGCAACCTCAGATGTTTTCCCCAAATTGAGGGAAATGTATAATTTTGATGCTAAGCTGCTATAGATTGTCCACCCTGGGCTGCCCCTCACTTATTATGATGTCTACAACTATTCTGCTTTTCAGCACTTTGCTGGGTTTATATCAGCAACGTGAACTTCTCTGGGGAAAACATTACTTAAAAAAATATACACTTGTGATCAGTGCTGGTTTACAGTTGTATGTTTGAGCCAGGTCGTTCAGTTTGGCACTTTAACGAATGTTTGAATGTTTCAAAAGAAAATCAGTTTAATGTGAATTTAGTGATGGAGAACTTTGAATGAAAATTGTTGTGTTATTCCAAGCAGGCTAACTCCAAAACTAAGACTCATCGTGAACTGAATCTTTGCATCCAGAGAAACCCGACAAAAGACACCAGTACGGGAGTGAGTTTGGTGTATGACGAGAGTGAGACGAGGGAAACCGGATGAGCCGTAATTTCTTTTATCTCACGTCTTCTGTCTGTTATCATTTATATTTTACATGTTGCTGGCTTCCATAGAGAGCATTTAAAACCAGTGTAACCCTGTCTTGGCGTCAGTGAATGTGAAACCAGTATACAGCACTTTATCTGGCAACGTTCCTGTTGTGAACAATAAATCTGTACGAGCGATCCCGTGACACTGCGTGTTTTTGTGTGTCTCGTGGTGAAGATGACACCATGTTGCTCCAGAGTGAGGTAATTGTTTGTTCTTTACTTCTACTGAAAACCAGTGTGAGTGATAAAACCATTGAAATTTTTTCCAGAAAAATAGTCATGCATCTAATTTAACTCGTGACGATAAGTAGAACATGTATGCCTTTTCCCTGTAATGGAGAATATATTCTCTGAATTTCATTGAATA